GATGGCCCTCTGTGTACCCAAATCTACGAATTTATGGTGAATTTTTATCGTTACACCACAATACTGGAGTGACTTGACACTATCCTGAATTATAAAGCATAATTTGCTAGTAATTAGTGTTTCTATTTAAATGATTTTAAAAGGGGATTTCATTAAAAGAATTAATTTTTAAATACACAGAATCATAGAACTTTTGGTGGTGAAAATAAATTTTTGCCTTCGAGTATACTTCCTTATTGAACAAATGAGGAGACTGTGGACCAGAAGTGAAAGTGATTCATCCCAAGTCCAGGACCCAAGTGGAGAATGCAGGCCCTCTGACCCAGGAAGCAATCTCCCCTCTACTACAAATTTCAGCATTCATCACTGGTGCATAGGTGTTTTTTGAAACGGTTTTGCTCACATTTGTCACTCATCACAAACTAAAATATTTTAATGATCATTACATATTATTGCATAATATAATCACTTAACTAGACATGTAACCGCGCCCCCCCCCCTTTTCTTTAAGAAATAAGCACTTTGTCCAACCCCAGGGCCATGATTTTTCCTACACCTAAAGCACTCCTACCCCTAAGAATTAAACTGTAAGATTTGATGGCACTAATGTATATTAAAGAATGAGAAAATGGTACTGAGTTTTCTGTGACTCAGTACCAAGGGCAGACTAAAAATATGAGAATTCTAGTCTAGAAGAAAAAAATTGAGAAGGATATGATTAAAATCTAAAAATCATAAAGTCAAGTAAGATGATGACCCAAAATGTTCAACAATCTCTGGGTAGAACTAAAGGAGAGTGTGCCCTGAAGGCTGAAAAAAGTGGGATTTAGGATAAATAAAAGGAAGGACTGTGTCACATTTACGGAATTCACTGTCACCTGGTTTAATAGAGACTGAAAAAGATAGATGACTTCAGAAAAGTCATCTATCCATGGAATAAATTCTCCACCCACGTAATAAATTTTAACAGAAGCCAAGTGAGCCCTCAAGTAGCATCCCTAACCTTTGAGGTTGACCACAAACCAGAGACCCAAGGCCTTTCAAGAAACCTCAAGGCCATCTTCAACAAGAATATACTAGTCTGCATGACGGCGGGTCAGACCCACTTAGCAAGCCTTAAATTCCTACTGGAAAGCAAGAACTTCCTCAATGGAGTACACATTAGAGAATCTATCAATCTGCTAACCCATTTCTAGACAAATAAAGAGGAAATCTGCAGAAAGATATTCCTAGCTCAAACATCTCACCAACCCAATACCAAAATGAAGAGACTCACTGGCCAGTCCCTGGGCTCCACAACAAAAAAGACCCCTCTTTGTTTTCCCACCATCTAGCTCAGTGCCTACCATCTAGGAGGGTTTTAATAACTATGGAGTGAATAAATTCTGCTCTAAAACTATATCTCCCAGAGGGTGTTAAGCTAATTATAATTAGTCATTTTTAACACTGTGGGATTAACAAAATATGGGGTTAACAACAAACATGGGATTAACAACTCTCAGAAATTATCCAAGTATCTAGGTTGGGATGGTTAAGAATATAGAACAGACCAGTAAAACTCCTTGGCTCCTGGAAAACTAACCACCAAGATCATCAAACCTAGCGAGATTAGGATGTATAGGCCAAAGTCAAAAACACATAAGAAAATTCAAAAGAATGCATAGAAAAATAATTAGTTTAGATTGAGTAGGTTAAATGCTACTCATGTGATGCCAAAGAAAACATTTACTCTAGGGTGTTCTAATCTAATTGTTAAAATGAAATGAATTTTTAGTGAGCATATACCTTTGTCCTCTCATGTATATACCCCAAACTCATCCTTTTTACGGGCCTAAGCACAATGGAGAAACTCAAGTATTTACCAAATAAATTAGTATCTCTGAGGACATTACAGTACCTATTTCAACAGCATAAATTTTATTTAAATTACCAATTGTTTAGCACCAGCGAGCTCACTGAACATTTCTTTTCCTCCCTTCATTCTCAGAGAAGATGACACCGTGATTATTACTTTGCTTCAGAAATCATGATACTTCAATTAAAAAATAAATTTAAAAAAAGGAAAAGAAATCATGACCACTCGAATCTTCTTCAGTCAAACCTCGAACAAACTCTATGACCATGGAAAAATCGGACAGCCTCCATCACACAGAGAAGCAGACTCCAGGGCCAGTTTTCCAAAACTGTTCTCTGCCATCATACCCAACCTCCATGGGTAAATCCCACCCGACTATGGGAGTCAGGGCAGGGGGGTAGGGACAGGGCAGACAGTAGGGGTGGGAGGTGAGAGTTTCAACAGGGGAGGCAGCTGTTCCTGTAGCCAGCAAACAGTTGATAACTGTGACTTCTATAACATAACACTCCCACAAGATAAGGATTCCAGTGGCCATTGTTTCTTATAAGGACAATGGTTTCCAGTCAAAACAGGGCACAGTTTGTGAAATGACGCAAGGCACTGACCTGTATATAATACACACACACACAGAATTAAAGGATTATTAGGATACCGGATGTCCAAACACTGCCAAAATGTGAACCCACAGAGATAATAAAAGCGCGAGCAGCAGCAGGATTAGAAATCGAAAAGGATTATGGCAACTTTGTGCCACACAATCATGTGCCAATAGCTGGGCTACAAAAGCCAGACAACTTTAGGCAGCCTATACTGTAAATTCCATTTCTTTTTGTTTGCAAAGGACCTGGGAGTTTTGTGTTCTAAAGAACCAGAGCCATTCTCCCCATCCCTAGAAATAGCAAGACATCGAAAGGTCAAAGGTTCAAAATTAAGGAAAGATCAGAGCAACAAATCAATACATCTTTTAAAATGAAAAACAGATAATTATGCACATATACTATACTCCATTAACACAACATGGACATTGCTGGGACGGGGGTGCGGGGGGGGGGGGGAATGAAAGAAATAAATTAACTGCTAATAAGCAAACTTGTAAATCTTAAGACCTCAGATTAATGGAGCCCAGCACAAAGCCATAAAAGCATCAGTCCTCACACTGACAGCTCTGGCTAAATTACGAGTAACTCCAAATGACACAGCTATGGCTCCTGGTGCCGGGGTAATAGAGAAAATGGCCCGGAATGACAGTCTCTCCCTCATGCCTCCACTAGGACCCTTACACAGCTATCATCACTGGCAGCCGACTGCTGCTAAGAAGTCAGCAAGGGGAAAACACGGAAGCTTTGGGCAACTGACGGCTTCGTAGGAAACAAGAGACCAAAGCATCAGCCCAGCAGGCTGCTTTTCAGAGCTGTCAGATACAAGTACACACAAGCCTTACACATATTCTGTATAAATATTCTGCTGGTGGTAGAAAGATGGCTGTGAGACCTCCAACAGAACAGCACAATCAAATACAGCTGTCATGGGCAAAGTTGTCATGGCCAAAAGTGCTATTTCCAACTAGGGCGTAAGTATAAATGTATACTCCAAGGTTTTTTAAAAATTAATGTGTATTTTGTATAGCCACAGAACTTGAGGACTCCTAATGGGATCTTAGAGATCTTGGGATTCAGCTCTTTTTAAAGCGTGCAGAACTGTTAGGTAACTTGACTAAAATTGAAAAACAAGTTAGTGGCGAAAGCAGGACACAGCTCTCTCCACAGTTTGTTTAAAGCTTTTTCCACTCCGGAAAGTGATCTTGAAAACTGGTCCGATGACAAAGGCACAATTTTATTGGTCACCGTGATAACAAGCAACAGAAGTATGCAGTAATAATTTCAGTAAGAGCAAAGCACAGCTGAAATTTCAAAGAGAGTAAAAGCCTTAAATGTATGCAAAAAAAAAGAAAAAAGTTTTTTTTTTTTTTTTTGGGAAATTATCATTAAGTTGTGGAAGCCCTTCCTTTAATCTGAGTTTTAGCCGGCAATCTGTTGCTTCGATCCCAGTGAAAACTATGCCTTGTGTAGTCTAATTTGAAATGTAAGACCGAATAGATCTGGAAAAGTACAGCTTTATCCTGGTACTTAATTTATACTATAATGTGTACTGTAATTATGCCTGAAGTAAAAGCTATATTCTGAGTAAAGACAAAAAAGCTCTTGTTAATGACATTCCATTCCCCCAATGTAGGCTTTAACAAAAGGCTTCTTCATTTGGAGCCAACTGTCATTACACTTTGTAGCGTGTATGGAGCTATTGGACTAATATTTGTCCTGGGATTAGTGTTGGGATAACCAATCAGTTAACTCCTCCACTGCAGTATTCTATTATCCTCAAATAAATGACCAAAAGGAAAAAAAGAAAACTGGCAGGTGGATCGACAACTATATTTATGAGATTAAACTCTCAAACCCTTCACAGTTTGCTGGGCAACTAATAACCATTTGCCAAGCTCTTCATTTAATAATGAGTCAGCTAAGCCAAAAGAAAATGTTCCTTCAACCAACCAATGGTACTACAGTCATATCCACACCGACAAGCTCCAGTTATTTATGTAATGTACTTTATTTAGAAAAAGTACAAGTTGCCCTGTACAAAAAATAAACTCCTGTCATTAGCCAATAAGAATGCAAGCTACCCTGCAGTATTTTGAATAACTGAAATTTATAGGAGATTTTATAATTTATGAAAGCCAAAATGACCAGCAAATTGTTTAGGGAGTAAGTCCTATTTGCATCAGGATTCAAGACTGAGGACCAGAAGCTCACCATCTAACTCTGCACTCAGTATCACATGACCTTAGGTCATCTGAGTCTGTTCCCTCATTTCATAAAAAAGAGTGTTAACACTGAGGCCCTCCCCACCTGGGGATTATGAGGACTGAGCAAAATTCTGTTTGTCAAAGCAAAGTAAGCTGTATATTACACAACACAATCATAAGGAGAAAAAAGCCATGTGGGCTGCTTTCCAAGAAATAAGTGTGTCCGAACAGGAGAAAACACCAAGTTGCCTCTGCTCTCTGCTCTCCTGCTTCTCCGGCCCATCTCTATGTATCCATGAGTTAAGAAAAGCAACGAGCAGTATCCCCTTCACTTTTACTTACTAATAGTTCATCCATGCTGGTCTGGCATTTTTCCAAGTTGATCCGCTTTATTGCTACACGTTCTTGCCTGGGTTTACATAGAGCAGCCTGCACCACAGCTGTAGCGCCACTGCCTGAAACGAAATAAAAACAACATCACCTATCAAGTGGCACACTGTCTGGTTACTATTTGTGACCCCCTTCACAAATTAATATCTATTTTTTTTAAGTTTCTACTCAAAGTATCCAAAACATTATCATTTGACATCTTTTTAAAGAGTTTCTTAAGTCCGAAAATAATTCTATGAAGGAGAAAAAGGAAAAACTGCACGTTTCTAGAGAATACAAAGACAGTATCTGCACTTCAGAGGCTTAACAATCCAGGAAGGTGACCCACATCAAAAGAGCCCATTGCAATACAGGGTGTTCACTGCTGCCCAGAACAAAGGCTGAGAAAGTGATGGGTCTCAAGTCACAAGAATAAGAGAGGGCTTCCCTGGTGGAGCAGTGGTTAAGAATCCGCCTGCCAATGCAGGGGACACAGGTTCGAGCCCTGGTCCGGGAAGATCCCACATGCCACGGAGCAACTAAGCCCGTGCGCCACAACCACTGAGCCTGTGCTCCGGAACCCTCAAGCCACAACTACTGAAGCCCGCGCACCTAGAGCCCGTGCTCCGCAACAGAAGCCACTGCAATGAGAAGCCCGCTCACCGCAACTAGAGCAAGCCCGAGCACAGCAACGAAGACCCAATGCTGCCAAACATAATTAATTAATTAATTGTTTTTTTAAAAAAAAAGAATATGAGACATAAGCATCTAAGCACACCCCTGTGTGGATGCCATCACCATCGTCAGATCGTCAGATCGTCAGATGCTGATCCCTTCCCATTTCAGTGCCTTTACAGTATCTCAAGCTCTTCTCCCCCTTCAGCCCAAACCAAACCACTCCAGCCTGAGCTATTTCAGGGCTTCCATGAGATGCTGTGACAACTTATCTACCCTGAGCACTCTGTGAGCTTATTTCTTCCAATTCTGCTCTACAATTAGAAGAACAGGAATCAACCTGAGTATTCTCAATGCTGAAAGCAGGACTTTTCAAGGATACCAAGCAAAATGATGCAAATGTGTAATTACAAAAGCTCTCAGCATTCATATGCATTTCCCATTTCTAAGGTTTCATGATCATTAGCTAATGCACTCAAATTCCTAAGAGACAGAGTCATGTCATCATCCATTTTTTATAAGAGCAAACTGTAGACGTGTAATGATTTGTGGCAGAGAACAAAGAGCTCCTGATCGGATTTGTTTTCCGTAGGGGCAAAAAGACCTCCAGGTTAAGGCATCTCAATTCTGCAAAGAATACCAAAAATCTCATTCTCATCACATAAATCCTTTCCCTGCAAGACTGCCAAGGAGAGAAACAGCCTGTACTCGGGACTGTGCAAAAGGGGGCAGATGTGACCGTCCACTTTTCTCCTTCAAGTTTTTCTTTGGGTACTATTTCCCAAATGAGTCACCGAATCTCATCCAAAAGGCAGGAGGGAGGATCTTTTGTCAATAAGGAGGGGAGACCAGTTTTAGATTTCCTGACACATGTGAGAGAAAGGCACGACACTTCTTGTGCAAATCAAGGCTTTCCCACCCCAAAGAAGGGCCCACATGGGTGTGTGTAGCACTGAAGTTCTGCCCTGTGGTCTCATCATCAGCTCTGGCCCCCTGATCTATGACCTGAGCTGGTCACCCTAATGCTCCAAAGACAGGTCTCCAAGTTCACGGCTTCTGTTCCAGGAAGTCCCACCTGTGTTCACTGGGGAAGAAACTCTACAGATACTGACCACCCACTATATAGTCGGCATTTTCCTCGCATAATTCTTGTTACAAGCCTGTGCAGTTTTTGTTATTAGCCTCATTTTATATGTGAGAACACTGGGACTCGGAAAACTTGCCCACACAGCTAACAAGTACCTGAGCCGGGATCTGAGTCAGGTCTGCAGGACTCTAACGTCCATGCTTTTTTCCTACCTCCCACCAGTCAGAAGCGCACCTCTCTCTTTCCTTCCTTCTTTTGCCCTTCCTAGGAAAACATTTTCTGCCCTATATGACTGAAGAAAAGAGAAACAACCTAGAGAACCTCACTCTCTCTAGAGCTCAGTGCAAGGAGCAAACGCCACTGTCAGAGGTTGTTTTAAAGGGGCTGCCTGTCCCTAACCTCACATCTTCTCCATCAGCTGTTACTCCAAGTGCCACTGGATCAACCTCACGGGCCCTGCAGATCGCAGCAGGTTGGGCTCAATCCAGAATGCTCCAGATACCAGGGCCAAACACTACAAAGAGCCCTGCTGATAGCAGAGTGTATTTTCCAGTCAAGGTCTCCAGAACAAGAGACCATCACTGAAGGGAGCCACAGAGAAAGTGATAAGTAGCAAGTTAGTGCTGGGCCTGGTACCGAGCAGAGAAATCAACGAAAGTCTTTAACAAGCTGCTGATGGGAAGCTCAGCCCTACCTGTTGTAAATCGCCCCCCAATCCCACCCCTCCATCCTCCATCCATATCCCAGAACATTCTCACATTGGGAAAACTGCAAAACAGGAAAGAAGAAAACAAATTCCCAGAAACGGTAAAATAAGTGTACATAATATGGGACTACCACGCCCAGTCAGTTAAGCCCTTGACTACAGAAGCCTTCTGGCTTCCACAGACAAACGCAAGAATATGGACACAAAGAAGAATTCTAAAAAGGGGAAGGGATGTTGAGTTGGCTTTTGCACAGAAAAGGAAACCACTGACAAAATGAAAAGACAGGGACTTCCCTGGTGGCTCAGTGGTTAAGAATTCACCTCCCAATGCAGGGGACACAGCTTCGATCCCTAGTCAGAGAACTACATCGCACATGCATGCCACAACTAAGAGTTCACATGCTGCAACTAAGACTTGGCACAACCAAAAATCAATCAATCAATTAATTAAAAAATTAAAAATGGCAGAAGGGGAGAGACAGCGCGTGCAAAAGAGGGCCTCTGAGTGTGGAGCTCCAGAGTTTGGAGCCATATGGCTGACAGAGTCTTGGTGCTCCAGCCAGGTGTCAGGCCTGAGACTTTGAGGTAGGAGAGCTGAGTTCAGGACACTGATCCACCAGAGACCTCCCGGACCCACGTAACATCAAACAGCAAAAGCTCTCCCAGAGATCTCAATCTCAACGCTAAGACCCAACTCCACTCAACGGCCAGCAAGCTACACTGATAGACACCCTATGTCAGTCAAACAACTAGCAAGACAGGAATACAAACCCACCCATTAGCAGAGAGGCTGCCTAAAATCATAATAAGTTCACAGACACCCCAAAACACACCACCAGATGTGGTCCTGCCCACAGGAAAGACAAGATCTAGCCTCATCCACCAGAACACAGGCACCAGTCCCCTCCACCAGGAAGCCTACACAACCCACTGAACCAACCTTACCCACTTGGGGAAGACACCAAAAACAATGGGAACTATGAACCTGCAGCCTGCAACAAGGAGACCCCAAACACAGTAAGATAAGCAAAATGAGAAGACAGAAAAACACAGCAGATGAAGGAGCAAGGTAAAAACCCACCAGACCTAACAAATGAAGAGGAAATAGGCAGTCTACCTGAAAAAGAATTCAGAATAATGATAGTAAAGATGATCCAAAATCTTGGAAATAGGGCTTCCCTGGTGGTGCAGTGGTTGAGAGTTCACCTGCCGAGGCAGGGGACACGGGTTCGTGCCCCGGTCCGGGAAGATCCCACATGCCGTAGAGCGGCTGGGCCCGTGAGCCATGGCCACTGAGCCTGCTCGTCCGGAGCCTGTGCTCCGCAACTGGAGAGGCCACAACAGAAAATACAAGAAACGTTCAACAAGGACCTAGAAGAACTAAAGAGCAAACAAACAATGATGAGCAACACAATAAGTCAAATTAAAAATTCTCTAGAAGGAATCAATAGCAGAATAACTGAGGCAGAAGAACGGATAGCTGACCTGGAAGATAAAATAGTGGAAATAACTACTGCAGAACAGAATAAAGAAAAAGCAATGAAAAGAATGCAGGACAGTCTCAGAGACCTCTGGGACAACATTAAACCCACCAACATTCGAATTATAGGGGGGGGGTCCCAGAAGAAGAAGAGAGAAAGAAAGGGACTGAGAAAATATTTGAAGAGATTACAGTTGAAAACTTCCCTAATAAGGGAAAGGAAATAGTCAATCAAGTTCAGGAAGCACAGAGAGTCCCATACAGGATAAATCCAATGAAAAACATGCCAAACCACATATTAATCAAATTATCAAAAATTAAATACAAAGAAAAATATTAAAACCAGTAAGGAAAAAAACAACAAATAACATACAAGGGAATCCCCATGAGGTTAACAGCTGATCTTTCAGCAGACACTCTGCAAGCCAGAAGGGAGTGGCTGGATATATTTAAAGTGATGAAAGAGAAAAACCTACAACCAAGATTACTCCACCCATCAAGGATCTTATTCAGATTCAACGGAGACGTTAAAACCTTTACAGACAAGCAAAAGCTAAGAGAATTCAGCACCACCAAACCAGCTTTACAACAAACGCTAAAGGAACTTCTCTAAGCAGGAAACACAAGAGAAGCAAAAGACTTACAATAACAAACCCAAAACAATTAAGAAAATGGTAATAGGAACACACATATGGAAAACTACCTTAAATGAAAATGGACTAGATGCTCCAACCAAAAGACATAGATTGGCTGAATGCATACAAAAACAAGACCCATATATATGCTGCCTACAAGAGACCCACTTCAGACCTAGGGACACATAGAGACTGAAAGTGAGGGGATGGAAAAAGATATTCCATGCAAATGGAAATCAAAAGAAAGCTGGAGTAGCAATACTCATATCAGATAAAACAGACTTTAATATAAAGAATGTTACAAGAGACAAGGAAGGACACTACATAATGATCAAGGAATCAATGCAAGAAGAAGATATAACAATTGTAAATATTTCTGCACCCAACATAGGAGCACCTCAATATGCAAGGCAAATGCTAACAGCCACAAAAGGGGAAATCAACAGTAACACAACCATAGTAGGGGACTTGAACACCCCACTTTCACCAATGGACAGATCATC